CTGCATAAGCGGGTCCAACATTAGTTCTACCCATTCAGCACAGACGAGCCCAAGCCATCCCAAGCCTATTGCATCCCACCTGCCAGGAAACTTCTGCCAAAGTTTGTCAGTCGCGTCCAGGATGCTGTGTCTGGAAACGTGACGTGGCACTGCTCTGCAGGTTAACATCTTGGCAGCTCACAAGACTTTTGGTGGCCTGGAAGCTGAAATATGTAGGCTTGACCAGTGAGGACTCGTAGCTTCCAGCTGCTTTAATCACGGCCAAAGTGCAGCAGGAGACTGCAAGTGCAGCAGTGTATCACAGGAAGTACTTGCGTTCTTCTGCCCTGTTGCGAGTCTCATGATGCTAGCTAGGTGTAATCAGTGTAACCACTAGTCTGTTACCGATCCTTTCCAGCTGAGATCAGGTATTTGACTTGTGTTGCTCGGGCCTTGGTGACGACCAGCTGTTGGCAGTGTTCGCGCCTCTTGGAAGCTTCAGACGCAACAGTTCACGCAAACCCTACTTTGGAATACTTTGGAAGGCTGGAGTTTCTGGTGCTTCGTAATTGTGTTGCACAGGTGACGAGATAGTGAGTACAGCTTGATTGCATGCATTCACGTGAGTAGGTGGTCAGTTGTCATCACAGGCTCTAGTGGAAACATCTGGGGTGCGGATCATGCTGTCGCGAGTGTTGCTGGAGTGCACAATCCTTGCCAGCACCACTCAGGGACAGCGAAGTGTGTCCAGCAACCAGAATTCGCCGTTGGCGGCTACGTGATGCATCATGGCAAGACGAGCGGGCATTAAGGGTGGTAGCATGCACAGAATGTGCGTAGGCCCAGAGCGCACAGTCACGTAGTCATGCGGGCATCAGGGCTTTGCCGGGCTCTCCAAAGATAAGCTTCGTATCGAGAAACAAGACGCCCACCTTAAGTTTGCAATAGGCTGCATTACTGTGGAACCTCGGGGCAGATCCCTCAAGCCGTCCCAAGGTGCGAATGCGCGACAGGGGTGTCCAGCGACTTACTGAACTCCTGGACCAGGCAAGACTTCTGCATCGTCAGGCTGCCGCAACTATTCGTTGGGGTCTTCGTGCTGAGGCCCAGGCTTTTCCAGGCTCCAATGACTGTTGTTCTGCTTGTGCCTACAACTTAAAGCTTGCTGGCTTTAGTTCGCAGACTTAGGGGCACCCACGTTGTGTGAACATCCCAGGGTTTGGTGGCTCCGTGCGCGTTTGCTAACCGCCTGCAGCACTCACTCTTTGTAAACAAAGACGAACAAAGATGAACAAGTTGGCTGCATCATGGTAGTTACATTAGTTACCGAGTTCATGCGCCATATGCCAGGCGAATATCTATACAACCATGATTACAGTTATCTGCATTTTCACATGGACTCGCTTGACCTCGCGGACTTTGAATGTCACGCTCTTTCTGATGTAGTATGGCTTTGGCCAGTTAGCTTACCTCTCAATGGCTTTTCAGGCTTTTTCAGCGCCTTAGGAGCATAAGATAAAATTATCTAGAGTTCCGAGGCCAATGTACATGGTCTTCTCACGAACATACATATTGGCTTGCACCCTTCGCCCACAGGAGGTTGAAGCAGTGGATTTGGCCAACAACGAGCTGGGCCCTGCAGGCTCCAAGCTGGAAATGGATTAAGGTCCCCCAAGTGCGGCTAGTGTCCCCGCTGGCACAATGATTGATACGTTTGTAGATGGCACTCTAGTACAAAGCGCTGCAGTGAAAAAGTAAGCCGTCTTTGGTCTTCAGCCAGGGTCGTTTTTGCTTAAGCAAGTCCATTCAGGCCCTTAGCCCTTCGGCCATACAAGTCTATCCTCAGTTCGTTGTCAGGAGTGGCCCGCCTGGCAAGCAGTCTCTACTCACGCTCACTTGAGCAGCTGCGGCGCTTGGACCTTTCGGCCACTTGTATGAGCTGACGGCCACTTCTGGCTATAGCGTATTGTTTCGAGGCATCACGGATTTAGAGCTCATAGACTACTGAAGGCCAACGCTCTCAGCGATGAGGCTGCAGCCCGCCTTGCAAAAGGCCTTCCCTGTGTCCTTGAACGGCTATTGCATTGGTTGTCGTGCCTGGCTCCTCTGAAGAATGTTGTACGAACTGCAATGACCAATCGCTAGCAATAAGCCCGACCCGCAGCTGTTCTGGATGCATCGCAACCACAAATCATGGCAGTGACCACTGCAGCGCCACCACCGCCATGCGCAGCAAGCAAGTAGCTCCATGCTGCTTGCTCCAAGACTGATGCTGGCAGGGCTTCAACGCTGCCCTCGCTTGCTCCGGTTGGATTTGCGAAGCAATTCGATTCAGGACACTGCTCATTGAATAGCATTTCTACTGAAGCAGTTTGGTGACAAAACCCAGCCCAACCCCATTGTTCAACTACACGCGTTGCCGTGCAACATGAGCTCATGTGAGCTGCATTCTTGCATGGCTCGTGAGAAGCGGTTGGATGACAGACACCGCTCTTGACAAACAAAGCAGCTGCAGGATGGGCATGGCCTTGGCGAACTCATCGCTGCCCATCCCAATCTGACGAGGAATAGCCGTTGTCATGCAGGCTTTTGAGAGAATTCGCACTTGATCAGGCTCTCCTTACGCCGAAACCGCCTAGCAGGCCAGCTACATGTAATTGATCACAAGCTATGGGAAGCGCCTCGAGTTCCACAGCCGGCTACTGGACCTCCAAAGCATCTGATGACCTCGCAGATGGTCTTTTTGATGTCTTTTGCGTGTTATTGTTTTCGTATGTTATTTGTCTCGCCTGTTAGCTGCGTTTGTTGGTCTGTTTGCTCAATTTCTATTGTCTTGGCCTTCCTTCCCTTGGCTTGCTCTACACGTGTGCCGCAGATATTGGATGTAAGGTCCTCTCACATAGAACTACTCATAATTTTACGTTTTCCGTGCTTCACTGGTTTTATTCGTTTTGTGAGCATGAGGAACTAACCAAATCGCGAGATGAAATTAGAATGAGTGAAATGTGCTGAGCGGACAAAGTGAGCTCGTTCTAAGTTAGTTCGGTGAGCCAATCATCGGTGAACTCCGGGTTTGTGAGACGCCGAGGAAAAACAGGTGACTGAGACCTGATTTGCAGTCTGACCATGCAGCCGGCAATGCATTGACAGCTGCACCGTTCACCAGCAGAACAGAAGCCTTTGACAACGAGCCCCCTGATCTGTAACGAGACATGAATGCCTCAGCTGCTGTGAACGAACGCCATGAGTAGCCAACGCAAAGATTATGCGCAGCCAAAGCAGTGGTGTCTGTTCCTTTGCTATCCGCTTCTTTCCAATCCCCAGTCTTCCTTTACACTCCTTTCTTTTCCTATTCTTACCACTCCGCGCCAGTAGATACAAATCCTTCTTTCGCCTTCATTCACTTCGCAGCGTGCTGCGCTGCTCTCCTGTGCAAGTGTAGAGGGAGAAGCTTGCATGTCACAGCACGCTCAGCGTTCCGTGATTTGAGTCTGTACCTGCACATTTTTCTTGATGGATCCCCCGTTGGCGGATGTGATTTGATCTGCAAGATACGTAACACGAGGATACAGTACTTTGACAGCTATACTGCTTTGTGAGGCGTGCTTCGTGGAGCAACGCTGCATTAAAGGGAGTGCAGGAAGAGAGGGTGGCAGGAGAGCAATTTGCAAGACAAGTTGAAAACCCGAAAGGCGCAAATCCCTAAGAGCAACTGGCCCCATTTAAACCTCGCGAACCAAGTCGGTCCGGAATGCGGACATCAGCAGGCATGCCAGATCGATGAGAACAGTGAAACATGCAGTATTAGATGATGATCAAAGATTATCCAACCCGTGATGCCAGTGAAGAGTCTCTTAAGCATGAGCATTCTGTCCTGGCATTCCGCCATTCAGCATATTTCCCCTACCACTGGCCGTGAAGAGGCTATGGCATGGCTGCCCTTTTCCACGGAATCCTTGAGAACGCACGCCGAGGACCGCAGCTCCACACCGACTGGCAATGTAACCCTTGGTCTCGTAGGGTGGCAGCAGTTGGCAGGTGGTCAACTGGCAGACGTAGATGTGGCCTGGAATCCGCTGGCACAAGATGGACCAGTGGCAGCGAAAGCGATTTCGACTGTCTTCCGGGACGATGGGGATGGGATATACTGAAATCCGGGCTTCTGCACGTGCCACAGTTGCTCTGCAGTGTCTCTCTTTGGAGAGTGTCGGTTGTTTCGCTGATATCTTTTCGGAGTGGAGACGCGTACCATGCAAGTGGAAGCTGAATTTTGAGGAGTAAGGCCTAGGGCCAAGGACTTGGCAGGCTGTTCTCGAGGTTCCCACCTACAAGCCTGCACTTAAAAGGCAAGAGGCGGTGCTCGGACAATGCTTTGATTTGCATGTCGTCTCGAGCACGACGGCAGTTGGTCATAATGCAGTTCCGTGGTAACTTCGTCGGAGGCTACAATTCATGCTTGCCGCATTTAGCAGGACAGCTCCAGACGATGCTTAGATTGTCTCTCTTACCTGGAGATCATTGCATCATGAATGCACTGTTGCCCTTGCTTTCTTCTAGAGACCATGGCAAAAGAATCGTTTCTAGCTTGCGCTTTAGCCACGCAGCTTGCAGACACATCTGCTGCTCAGCATCACAGGAGTCTGCGACTTTGTACCACTGCGACCTCAGTTACTGCTGTATGGATGCTGCCAGCTGTGCTCTACTGGGGGAAGGGCTGCGAGACAACCACTCTCTCTACGGCTTGCACATCGTCGGTGACTTGGATTCGTGCAATCCTGCTCAAGCACTGGTGTTGTTGTTCAGGCTACATAGCCAAGTGCCGTGCTTGCAGATCAATCTGAAACCGCTGCTAGATCTGTGTCAGCTCCCGGCAAAGCAAAGGTCATCTGGGCAGCAGGTAATGCTCAATAGCAACGAAGCAGGAGCAATCCCAAACCTGGGTCTTGATACTGCATGCCAAGTACCGGCACATCAGCCCTGCACCCTGAGAGCAATGGCTGTAAGGTTGCGATTACAAAGGATTGCAGGCTACATCAAGTTACTGTAGCATCATGATGGCCCAGCCCTGGCTGAACGAAGGAAATGCTGCAACCATGGACGCGGATGGCTTTCTCACGCCTCAGAAAAACTGCTCCCTGTTGCCAGACGAACAGCAAAGTAACTTGTCAGCCTCAAGCTTGAAGCTTTGCTGTGAAATTTCCGCAGCATCTACGCGAGTCTTCCTTTTCCAAGAAGCCTGCTGACTTCATTCAGCTGTTGGGCCAGGATCCATCATGTTCGGAGGTCTCCAGCCGGGCCCGGAGGCCCTGAAAGCCAAGCTTGGCAATGAGCTACCATTCCGTAGGAGTTGAATTGTTGTGATTTTGAGCACGCTCATATGGCTTGCACACATCCCCTGCTGTTCTGGCTTGCTCCCTGGCCATTGCAGGCTCTGTTTGCTTTCATACGCGTGAAGCTGAGGAATTCTCCTAAGCGTGAAAACCCATCAAGCCTGCCCGCCTGTTCCAGCTGCTTGGTGTTTTGGCAGGGGCTGCTTGGCTCCATTCCGAGTTTTGCAGAGGATGACTTGAAGGGCCGCGATGTGCTGGCAGCGTGGCCAAGGGAATTGTGCTTTCAGTGGTTGAGATGGTTCTTTCAGCCAATGCACAGCGTGAGGGTTTCAGCTTCAGGAAATGAAGTCTGCCTGCTGGGCCTGCGAGGGCTGGGTCAGGCAAGAGCTCCTGGGTCTCATTGAGTATTGCAGGTGTTTTCTGCGACAGTGAAAGCGGAAGAGTCCGGCAACTGCAACTTAGGATAGAGTGGCCTTATGACCCGCGAGATGCTTGCCTTCATGTGACGGAGACTTTTCCACAGATGTCCAGGCAACCCTGAACGCTAGCAGATCGTCATTGCTAGAGTTCTGTGGGCTGCATGTCCTGGTGCGCTTTGCCTAAGGACCCTCCCAAAGCCGTATGGGCTTTCACGGGCCTGGACTCTTTCCGACGAGCCTTGCGGCTTAGACCTGAAGGCAAGGTCAAATGGAGTTTGCAGCACTGGTGTCATGTCATGCACCCTTCCTCTTGTGGCTGTCCCTCCTCTGTGCGTTCGTTCACAGAGTCCGCCCAGCAAAACAAAATCGTTCACAGCTAGCCTGTGCACGACTCGTTTGTTTTTGGAGTTGCATTCGGTCATGCGGCTGCGTCGTCCAACCCGGCTTCCCTTAAAAGAAGTGATTGATCATGTGTGATGTGTTGGCATCTTGAGATCTGCGGCCTGTTCTCGCAAAAGAAAGGTCGGGTTTATCAAGCAGCGCATGTGCTGGATCACCAGCCTCGGCAACCAAGCGCAGTAGCTTCTGCAATGAAGACTCTGCAAAGGTGGCGCGCATCCATGCTTCAAAGCTGCGCGAATGGTTCCACCCGGGCACAGGTGGGATGTTGACTTCGGAAAGGGTGTCGTTTGACATTGCTCTGCCGTGTATGCGTGGAAAGCAACTCATCTGTCGCTGCATACCATGATCTAGTCATCCCTGAGTGCTGAAGCCAAAGCGGACTGCAGCTTATGAGCGGACAGCTAGCTTGCACGTCATCGGCTTTGCAAATAAATAGATGTTGCTTAAGGTGCGATGAAGCATGCTTCCCCTTGAGCCTCAACACTTTGACCGACAGTGTCTGAAAGGCTTCAGGTCATCTTCCAGGTCGACTCAAGGATTGCGCCCCCCGACAGATTACTTGGAGCGATCCGGCAACTTCAGAAGCTCCCAATGCTGATGTGGCATGCTCTACTTTACTACTAACAGAGTGCAAGAAAGAGTGTCATTATGCCATATTGAACTCTTACTTTGATGCTGGAGGTTCCACGAGGCTTTTCTTTTGGAATTTACAGCACCAGGATATTGAATGCTTGATTAAGAACACTTGGCAGCCGTCGGCTTCGGCCGCCGAAGCGTTGTATTTGAGAAATCAGCTTCAGCGAGTGATCCCATTGGGGTTGCTTCGCACGTTGCCGGCAAGTCCTTTGGTGATCATGCTTGCAGGACTGTGAGGCAAGTCAATTCGGCTTCAGGTCACGAATCCTTGTTCAAACTTCAGGAAGCGCGCCTCTCTCCTCACCTGCCTTCAGCTTTCATCGCCCTACACCGCACGCAAGTTTCCAGAGAAAACATTCAAGACTCTTGCAATTCGGGCTGATGTGGCAGGACGTGGCCTTGCTGTTCAGCCACTAGTTTTGCTGTTGCAGTGATGGTTTTGTAACTGATATGATTTCCCTTGTCTTGTTTCGGCAGTTGCTCCGCTGATTCCAAGGCTTCTTCCGGGAGCAGGAAGAGACAAGTTGGCAGTGCCTGCAGAGCTAACTCTCCGCATTTGCCAGGAAGCTTCACACTGTGAGCAATCATTGTGTAAGATAGATGTGCGTGGGCAACAGCATTGTTTAGACAGCACGCTCGCCAATGGGCAGTGATGAGTTCTGGGGCTTGATATCGTTTAATGTTTCAGTGGCTTGCTTGAAAAGAGAAATGCAATATGGATCAGATACTGGAATTTCAGAATTCGTTAATTAATAGGAATGCAGCCCATTCTGGGCAAGTGTAGTGAAACTGGTAAAGCCAAGCCCAGAACAATGTCAGGTGTCAGCTCAAGATGTTGCATCTAATGGAATATGCAATCAGTCCTGTCTGGTGCTTGCATGCAGGAATTGCCTGAGCTGCAGCCAGATCCAGGTGGGGTGGTTTGCCAGGATCTTACAACTTTGGAACACCATCTGGAAGGCTTCAGGCTGCCGTCCCCTTCTGCAAGTTTCAGGTGCAGGGATCTCTCCGCGCTCCGGTCGACCCATCCTCCTTGCCAGCATAGCGGAAGCGAGCGTAATCAGCAGGACTTCAATTGAACTGTCTTGGCACTGGCGCCTGCGGGTGGATTCCTCAATCATCTTTATGTCGTAGAATGTTGGACAAGTGGGCATATAGAGCAAAATCTAAGCCAAGAAGCCTCTCACGTGAGGACGCCGCATGAGGCAGAGACTACCACCGCCGCATGCCGTGGGGTGCCTCGCTCAATTTGGCAAGCTCATTGAGTCTCTGCAAACGCCGCAACCATCCCCCTGCTCACTGTGTGGTAGACTGGAGGATTGCATGCCGAGGCAAAACTCATCTGCGGATGATATCAAAGTTGCATAGACCGACTGATGTAACTGATAATCATCTGACAGGGTGCATTGGTAGATTCTGACCTTCAGCTCAATGTGAGATAGCGAAAAAGATCGAACGCATCAAATCCAAGTGCATCCAAGTGCAAAGCGCCACTGGCAAGCATGCAAGTGTGCCGGGGTCCGCTCTCATTGAGCAGAGCGCCGGTAGTACTCGGAATAGAAGAGCCCCTCAACGGTCATTCTGCTCTTTTGCGCAGCATGCCTTTCAGTTTCATGGATCCGAGTGGAGGGGCGACAACACAATGCTCCAGAATCAGGGCTGCTCGTACACAACTGGCAGGTTGTCACTGATGGCCCAGCAGATGGTGCTGCGGTGCTTCTGCCACGGGTCACGGAGGCGGAGTTCAAAGCCAAGGTGCTTGGCTTGTTAGCGTTTTTGCAAGTATTTTGTGCCTGACCAGACAGATTTGAATGAGGACATTTTTCTAACAATCTCGTGAACCCAGCTGAGCATAAGGAAAGAAAACAAAGTTTGTTCATGAAAACGAAATCTTCTCGTTTTCACAAGGATCGATTCAGGCTCTTTGAGTAATGATTTGTAATTTATCAGAATTAGGCAGCTTATGCTGCTCTTGAATAGCACAGTTCTCGCGCTCTTATCGAGGACAATAGGACCTTAATATTGATTCTGGTCCTTGAAAGTGTTGCTTTTGAACTTTTATTGTACGGCCCCGCAGAACCAGCTTGCGCCCTTTGGGCACCTGCTTTGCGATGCTGGATTCCGTCCCGGATTTGTTCCTGGATTTTTTGAAGCAAGCCCGGTCGTTAATGTTTCATTAAAGGTAGAAGTGGCTCACATGCATCTATTCAGCCTGCGAAGGTAGAGGTGCAGTCTCATATACAATTCACAGGAGCTTCAGTATTTTGTATGAAAGTGACAAGGGCTCGTTTGTTTTAGTTCGTTTGTCCTTCAGACTCAAGAACAGGCTAGGCAGTTGATCTGCTGCCCCTATGTTTTGCACGTTACGAAAAAAACAACAAAACACCATATGTTTGCAGTGTTTGTGCGTTATAAGGTTTATTTTGCAGGTCATGCAATTTCCCAAAAATACTTGCAACACTTGACAATTTTGGGTGACATCTAAGAGGGCCAGTAGTGCTGTTGTTGCAGGCCTTGCTGCTGCTTCTTTGAACATGTCCAAAAAGCAGCTCCCTGAAAGAAGCCATCTTTTGATGGCGCTGCTGCCTGGGGACATGAGCGTTATGCTCTTGGC